ACTACCTTATGACAAAATAAACTCTAGTTGCTCCCATTTCACTGCGCGTTTGCTTAAAACCCATAAGAAAGAGGTGAGAAAACTGGCATTCTGACGCAAACGCCGACTTGTTTGCCAAACAATTTAGCCTCGAAGTGGTGTGGTGACGTCACATGTTTTTATCTTTGCTACACCCGTACCGCTGTACCGCAGGAACGCTGCACGGTTGCTTGGGGAAACTGTCAACAACATCGGAGAATTTGAACAACATTGGAGATATTTTCAAATACCTTTTATAAGGCAACGCGCAGTAAAATGGGAGGAACTAGAGTTTATTTTGTCATAAGGTAGTGTAATTATGCATGACACGAAGTATTTGCTAGTCTAGTACTGGATAAATTAGCGTTTGGATGCGCATTGTGCGGCTTTAAGACCTTAAATCTGGGTTTTAGACCTTAAAACCTAGTTTTAGACCTTAAAACAAAGTTTTAAGACCTTAAAACCCGGTTTTAAGGTCTAAAACTAGGTTTTATGCTTTTTGGTACAAAATGCTTTCCATACACGCACGCGCGTGCGCGCGGCACACACACGCACACACGCGCGCGCGCACGCACGCACGCACGCACACACACACACACATACACACACACACAGTGAAGGACAGAGAGAGAGAAGGAGAGGGAGAGGGAGAGGGAGAGGGAGATAAAAGAGAGAGAAAGAGGAAGAGAAAGTCTGAAAAAGGGGGCTGAGATAGCAGGAGATCGGTCTTCATATTATATCTCCCCTTCTCCCTCAAGGCAGATTTCATACATAATTGCTCAACTAACCATTACAATACCCAACAGATGCACAGTCTCGTAGATGAGTGAGCAAAAGCGAAATGAAATGCAATAACCAGGCGGCTTATCGACGCTTCACAAAACGAGAAAATAAAATTAAAAAATTGCTGAATGTACGGGTGCTACGTAACTAATGAGACAACAGCGTGGCGCGCAGCCCCTCGGGGTAAATCGACGAATGCACGATTTTTTAGCGCCATCGCAAATCAACCAGAACGCTGGGATAAAGTGGGGAACGCCGCCGGTGAAAAGCCACTTGTCGACTTCGCACCCCCCCCCCAACCTCTCTCTCTGATTCGCACGTGTACCGGCCACTCCTGCCCATAGACGAATATCTCGCTACGCGCGATGTCGACGCGATTCCAGGTGAGCGCGAGGTTGAGCTGGTCGACAGCCGATGTCTTCATGATCTTCAGCAGGGCGGTGAGGATCGCCTGATCGATGTCCTGCATGTTGCCCTCGCCCATGCGGAAGATCGTGATCTACGCGCAAAACAGCAGGTCAGCAAGATCAGTACGACCCAGGTCGACGATGGAACTATGGCAAATAGAATGGCAAATGGAATGTCAAACATCGCGGACGGGACATGAATGGAATGTCATACGGGGGAACAGAATATTGATTAGCAGCGATGGAACTATGGCAAATGGAAGGTGGAACGCTAGGGATTTAATTACAGGAACAGAATGTGGAATACTGGGGACTTAATTTTAGGAATGGAATGTAGAATGCTGGGGACCTAATTACAGGAATGGAATGTGGAATGCTAGGGACCTAATTACAGGAATGGAATGTGGAATACTGGGGACCTATTTACAGGAATGGAATGTGGAATACTGGTGACTTAATTACATGAGGAACAGAATGAATATAGTGATCTATATTTGTAATGGGAGAAAAGAGTTAGATAGTTGTGGTTCCATGGGATTAACTTCCATGGTTTCAAAAAAGAATGATTATATACTGTTACACCATGGTAAATATGTTGAAATCTGCAAATATCTCAAAATCTTGAATATCAAAAACAATATTGTTACCAACCAACTTGGTTATAAGCAAGTGTAGCGTGTAGCATGTAGCTAGTGGATACTAGCGTGCATCGTCATTGGCATAGTGACATATTGTTAACGACATACATACGTTTCAATAAAATATAATTTAAGTGTAATATTGGTCGCTACACAAGGTATTTAGTCTGCAATTCAAACATAACACATCGCACTGGCAGACTGGGTGATTACATGAGACGATGGTGGGACATGATCGTTCACGAGCCGAGGCATCAACTCACGCTGCCACGTGACACCGCTGTAATGACCACAGTCTTGGTTTGATCGCTGCTCTATCAAAATCACGACACAGAGTGAACTAATTTCACGCGCATGAACATCGTTCTGTTGCTTGCTCAAGCACAGTGAGCAAACACTGCTACGGATATGACTTTTCCATTCTGAAGTCTCTTAAACGAAACTCCCGGACGCATGTGCATGGCACGTACCAGCTCTTTCTTCCGCATACATTGCATCAGTTCTGAGTAAAGTCGTTCCGCCTGCTCCTTGCTGTAGTGAAATGTCTTCTCTATGGTGATAACCAGCTGCTCACTGAGATTAGATATCATCCCCCTGCATAGACAGATAGCAATTTATCAGTGATACTAATGCTAATAGTTGTGCTCATTTTGTCCAAACTTATTCATCTTAATGAAACATTCCAAATTGTAGGCAAAGTTGTTGTTGTAACAAACCGCTTGATTTTATAAAGCATCGCTTGTTGGTATGCACAAAATAGATTTAAGCCGGTAATGTCACGGGGTAAAAGTAATACTAAATTTAAAATTTAAATGAACTACATTAGTGATATCAGGCCACATCAAACCAAGTCAACAAAAACGATTAACAGCAAGCACAAGTAGGACGAAAACGTTGATGCTATCACAATTACCTCATTAACCATTTATAGCAACACTGATCATTATTTGTACAAGCAATCAACAGATCAAATGACTAGTTCCTGCTGGTGACTCGAGTTCCGCTATTAGGCTCATAATTAACCGAAAGAATGAGCAGGACTCGCGCAACATACGCGATTCTGCTTCAATCTTTGTGTAGTAGGAATTCGAACACAATAAATGCTATGTCTCACTCAAAACTATTCTGCACTCCTAGTTGACCGATCATTAAAGTGATTTCACCGGCAGGCAGACGTCACTCACCCGTCGTCTGCAGAGAACTTGTGCGCGAACGCAATGATGTCGGCGGCGCGACCGCTGCCGTCGCAGACGACGACCGGTACAGGCGGAGTGTCCGTCACATACTCCAGTGCGGTGCGAATCGTGTTGGGTCCACCCTCAAGCACGACGCACACCACCGGCACACCGCAGCTTTCTCCGCCGGCCCCTGCAAGCAGACAGACCTGTCAGACGCACACGAGCGTGCTAACTATACACGTGCACACTACACAATCACAAATACATTCCAAACGCGCGTGAAATATGATAAACGCACATGATGAAACACGTGCTCAGCGTGTACTTCTCATCAGACGGACGCCAAGCCACGATGACAAACTATAGTGATGGCCTCGAATCTTTTGGCAATTTTCATAATTTCAAATGACATCCCGTGCAGTTTCTCTATCATAATTTTGCTACTGATTCGATAAAGCAATACATAATTAAAAAATCCACTCAACCAATTTATATTAATAAAGAACAGCATCTAATTATTAAGAAATAATAAGCCTTCGTATTTCATTTACTACTATGAATATGTATGAATTCCTCTGCCTCTTTTTCTTCATATCTGCATTATCATCATCATCATTATTATTATTACTATTATTATTATTATTATTAACTTAACTAGAGTGGCATGTATGTACAAGTAACTGGGCAGTAATAGTACACCACTGTAATTACCCAGGGGTATCTATCGCCTACGTACGTGTTTGGATCTTTTGCTGTGAGATGTACTTCTCCAGTTTCTTGCGCAGTATGATCTCGGCTCCAAACTTGCCACCGGTGCCACTGTCTGCCAGCAAGAAATGTGAGTGCTTGCTATTCAGCAGTGCGTATCGGCTCTTAGGAGACTGGATACTGTAGTAGGGCCTCACGACCTGGGCAGATAGAGCACACAATGAAAGATCACACAGAGACAAGGAGACCACATGCTAGCCCCACTCCTGTGCCAACATCAGATATTGGCAAAGGTCTATGCTGACAGTACATACTCTGTAGGAGGTACACAGCCATTGCACTTAACAGATAACGTATGGACTCCACGTGTAAGAACCCCGCTGTTGCGTCTTATTGACCCGTGCACATTTAGACTTATACCTAACCAAATCTGATAATACTGTACACGTATATTGATGACTCACGTCTCTGCCTATAAGGTCTTCACGATGTTCTATCATCCCCCAGGGCGCAATACCTATGGATACTATCTTCTTCTTCATTTTTGAAACAGACAGGTGGTCCCCAAGGGCCTGACCCACTTGCCTGTTGACACCTATAATGAAGTAGCATAGTCATCAATGGCACATGATATAAATTACCGTTCTCGTCAATATCATTATTGACAGTATAACTGTATTGTCCATTATCGATCCCATGAAACTGGACATGCTGGAATGCTTGCAGGCATATGTAAACAGCAGGTACAACTAGATATATCCTATAGTTGTCTCGATAAAATTATCAAATGCATATTCTGCATTTCTATATGTCGCGCAGTCTCTCTCTCTCTCTCTCTCTCTCTCTCTCTCTCTCTCTCTCTGTCGCGTGGGTCTTAACAGGTAGCATCTGTGTCACAGCTTGGGTAAACAAGCTCTCAACGTAATTTCCTACGCTCTCACTCACCCGTATTTGTTCCCCCAGTGATGATCCAGGAGCCTGTGGTTTTGGCCGCCTTCAGCAGGCCTTTGCGGAACATGCGCTTCAGCTTTGGCTGCAGCTCGAAGTTGGGAATGCCGCCGTGGATGGAGATGACGAGCTTGGGAAGCTCCAGGCCCCACTGCTGAGTGAGCAGCTGCACTATCAGCTCTGATCGCGTGTCCACTGACAGCCGAATGTACTGCAGCAGACAGCGCGCAGTGAAGTCAGACCGGTCGTTCACAGCATGCAAGCCACCGAAGACGATGAAGGTCAGGGCGTAACATAGAGGTCAACTCATAGGACTGGATTTAGCATATAGCCCAGATAACACACAGTAACACGCATGTCAGGGTGTAACACACATGTTACTGCATAAGACAGCATAACATCCATAGACATCATACATAAGACAGCATGTAACCCACAAGTTAACACATAAGACAGCATGTAACCCAAAGGTTAATAAATAAGACAGTATGAGTAAACCCATGGGTAAACACACAAGACAATGTGTGTGTTGTATTTTTCACAAAATACAACCAGAGATTACACAATTTTATCGTTTGAACAATGCGTCCTAGTTGCGCCTACCTCATCTCATGTCAACATCAGTAATGAACAAGATGATAACTGTCAAGCAGGATTCATTACTCACCTGTGCTTTGTCGGTCTGTGGGCCTCCCTGGAACTCGACCATTCCGAAAGCATCAGTCTTCATTTGTGCGCTGTGCTTGCTGAAGTTCCAGTGTTCGTCTCTGCCCTGCATAGTGTAGCAGAAGACAGACATGATGCCATGTAAATTGGTCAATATCCCCCCAGGGAGGTTATGGGAGACACACACGAGGACACTTAAGCACATGATGTCATATGAGGTTTTCAAACAGACCCATGTGAGAATGAACGCAAGGCAAAGGAAGTACAGAGTAATATAGAGAGAATCCGTAGGACAAATGTTGAAAATGTGGCGCAGAAGCTTATTTAATATGAAGTCGAATTTTAATAATCACCCCTGCAATCATGTTCCCTTTCTTATGTTACAACTTATCGCCATATTTTCGTAATCATATGCAAAGTCGCAAATATATATCTTGATTCAACTATAAAATTAATAATTTCAGACCAGGTGATGTTTAAAATTCATTGATTTCACTGGATTAAAAAAATTAAGTGGAGTACTACTCTCTCCAAAAGCCGTTTGTACTGCCCCTCCAATGTTTGTGAATATGTCACTATATTAGTCTCTAGCTTTGCTCGAATTACAGTGTGTACATGATTAAATTGCGTAGTGTCACAGCTAGCTGAATTGTGGAGAAGTGATGGGTGACCATAGCAATTAATCTTGCCACAAACTAATCACAATCGTCAGTCTTAATTTCGCAATCATCACTTCGTCTGTTTGCGTGCATCAGAATTATGTACGTCCAGTTTAGCAGGTGTATGATTGCGTACAAATGAATATGAGGGAGAGCATTGTAGGCTATCTGAACAGACAATCTCTTGCTACTACCGTTCAGGGGTTTATTGGTGATCCACGAAACTATGACCATGGTAATAAATGAAAATTGCAGGAATAATTTTCTTGTGTAATGTTAAAGTAGGATATCTGGAAAGCCAGTTACGTGTAAAACACATAACAAAGGATAAAGACCATTATCAAGACAGCTCAGATGCAACAAGCTATTATGTGTGCCTTTTCTTGCAACAAATGATAATCTGCAAATAAAAGCGTGATGATGATTTAAACAAAGGCCTATAGTAACGATAGATGACAGCATCAGAAGTGTATATATAATAGAGTATATTATTATACACTTCTGATAGCATAGCAGAACATATCATTGTGGAGGTCACAATAGAACACATGTCACGTATACATAGAAACACTTAATATTTGAAGAAAAACACTTGCTAATAACATGTAAAGAATGAAACAGCACAAAAAACCTCTGGTATTATGCTAATAACGCATCAGTAAAGTGACAACAACCATACAAAGAAACTTCACCTCGAACAAAACTCACATTAAACAAAAACCTCTTGCGCGGACATGGCCACTGGCTGCGATAATACGCCGTGCTTGGTGACGCCAAATCATTCGACTGCTGGCCAGTAAGAAACGTGCGAGAAAATAATGCATTCAGCACGATACATTAGGGAGGGGGAACTAACATAACGAGTATAACCTAACTAATAGTGAAAAATTAATCAAAACGCACAATTTGTGTGTGGGAGGAGGAATAAACAGTAAAATTTTATTTAAATGTAGGTGACCTCATTGTCCGAGCAAATGCCAACAACAGATCTAGACAACATTCATCTTATATGACAGCAGAACAAAACATCTACATGTTTGCACAGCAGTCAGCTGAAGTCATACCCCGGTGTGGCGACCAACCAGCCCTGGTTCGGGCGAATAGCCAAGGTAGGCATGCTTCGCACACGTCCTTCCGCATCCACACCTGAAACAACAAACACGCAGTAATTTGACTTTATTGTCGCCTGCAAAACACACTGCAGCCAATCTGACAACCCTCGTGACTACTGCGGCAGTGCCTCGTGGGTTGCAGCTAGCGCATACATGCTGCGAATAAAATTGGGCAGCTTCATGGTAGCAGGAGTGAATAATAATAGATTAATTATCTATAGATCTATCTTAAATATCGAATAGAATCTATTATTATTCACTCCTGATGGTATGACGTGAATGTCGTTCGTTCTGTATATCAGCCCCTTATGGCTACTGTGAAGACAGCTCTTCGTCATATCTCGCCTGTCAACTATGACTAATGAAGTTTCATTGATGTGATTATAAGCCATTGACAATGGAATCCTTAACAGTTATTCGCCGAAGGCGAGGTGAATCTTGTTGAATAATCCGCGAGACAAAGTCGAGGTGATTATTCAACAAGATTCACCGAGCCTGAGGCGAATAACTGTTTTAGTATCATCGCCCGAGTGATTATAGGAAAGAAACCGATAATTGAAACCGATACCGTAAAATTAGATGTAAACAAGTGTCGGCAACCATTTTGTGGTAACTCAAATTGTTGCATTTAGGCAAATTTTGCCCCCAACAAATACAACATATACCGTTAGGAAAACGGCAAACAAACCTTGTTGAACAGACTTTAGCCCCGAATTTACCCTGAGTCTCAAAACTCCTAATTTCACGTTCGAATCAACGGCAAAGAATTGTATATATATAAAAACAAGTTCATGTACGACTGGGGTAATATAAACTGTCCCCTTTTAATTTCTAATTAGGTAGTGCCTGCCATCTGTTGGAAATCAGAGTAACAAAAACCAATAATAAGCTTGAATTTAACTACCTACCTTTAAATAGTTTAACTCCAAATTTTGTCACATCTTTGGTACTTTTGGGGACAGCATTTCCTTTAAATTTGTCAATTTCGGCTTCCGTAACATTTACAAATCTAGCGCCACTACAATGTAAACCCTAAAGGTGATTATCGAAGAATAATCACCTATGTCTCGACCAATCAGCGCGCAGGATTTCCTATAATCACTCGGGCGATTATACTAATTTAATACTAATTGTTTACTTTCCTTTATTTTCTTACTCACTTGAATACTGCCGCGAATACAGTTGTGTACTAACTCTCTAGAGGAACTGTTTTTATACATTTGTTACATATCGGTTAAAGAGCTTTCCAGCTCATGTTCACTGTTTTAAATGTACGGATTAAAATAAAGATTATCTACTAATAGCTAGGCCTACTACATCTACGTCCATTAGTAGCCTTGCTAATTGCATACACTGTAATGTGAGCCTTACAAGAACTGATTAGCACTGCGTCAAAGTAACTGAACTGAACAAGAAACTATAATTGAACTAAATAGAAATTTAAAATAGACACCACAGTCGGATTATGCTTACGTAACAAGTATATATATAAAGCCAGTATGCCGCCATGAATGTGCGGTGTGCGCGGTCTACGGTGCTGTATGCATGACGTGTGCACGTGGTTATACCTGAAGCACGAATCCCACACCTAACTAATAAAACTAATGAAATAGTATCGTCACAACGTATTACAGGTACTGCCACAGTACGTGTAAGAGTAGGTCTCTAGAGGACGCAATGCTAAACAGAAAATCTCATTTCATTAGAATTCTCACTGCGCTCTTTGCGAATTTTTTATAAGCCTTCTTTATACGCTCTTGATGTCATCTGGCATGTCACCATCTGCGTAGAATCACGAGACTTACGCAAACAAAGGCCATACCTGCACATGTGAAATAGCGCACGGAATATTGAGCTAACTAACTAGTATACAACCGTGACACGTGACGCGTATATATACGACTGAATACACAGACTCAAGGCATGTATAGTTAACTATCAATAAAAGCGCATACTGTCGAGTATGGATGTGTCCACACGCGTGCACGCACGCATGCATGCACGCACGCGCGCACGCCCACACTCGTACACGTACGCACGAACAAACACACTTACACGCATACAAGGCAATGAACGCATGCAGCTTGTATGATTATGTTGTAATCAATAGCAGTGAACTAATAGTTTCACAAGTGACGTCACGCACGTGATCGGGTTCCGCGTGTGAATATATTCCTATAGTGTCAAGACAGACTACAGGTGGTATGTACACGTATGCATGAGTGAGACATTTGTGGGTGTTTAGTAATAGCATAATATATTAACATAATAGATGACTGAGATAAAAGATATCGATTTAAATGAGTTAAATGTAGTTAGTCACTATATATATTCCATTAGAGACGACTATGCAGATTTACACATCGGAAAGGTGGCTTGAAATTTTCAATAATCGTTAGGCCAGAGCGTGACTTAATTGGGAAGTCGATCGCGTACACCATACCTACTCTCGCAACGTACGAGTTTAATCGCATTCGCACATGTACAGGTAGATTGCGTCACAGAAGCCGAGAGTGGACTCATGCGTTCCATGCCTCCCGAGTCGTTACTATAGTTCACCACTATTGGCAAGTTAACTGGCAATTAACTGGCAAGACGCCACGTTGGCACTAAAGATGGCTCCTCAGCAAACATTCAACGCAGTGCTAGCCTGAACATGCAGTTGTTATTCTGATTAAAAGCTTAAACAATGGCTTCTTGTTGCCAAGTAACTAATGTATATTCATAACACACACTCCCGCATCTCGTAGATGAGGCAGAGCAATACCTGACCGCTCGCTCGGCCCTTCCCTTCCTTGTGGCGGAGCGAAGGGCTATAGTTCTAGAGCTAGCCACACGCATGCTAAACGGCGCACACACTTACCTCTCCATGTCTTTTCCGCTCGGCAGATAATGGATGCATTCTCGCTTTGTGAAATGCTTCTCGATCCACGGTCTCTGCGCCTGAAGGACAAAACATGTGCATGCTGACTACAAACGCTGAGTTGCGCCCCGTTATATAAGACTCTCGCTGCTGCGTTAATGACACTCGCTTTAATTACTCGGTCCTATCAGAGCCGCGCTATCGACGTGTGTAGCACAACAACAAAACACTGCATGCAGCATTACTGCACCAACGGCATATCCATTACGGCAATCGAAAACTCGACTCGAACGCCGGTAATTAGTTCGAAATGAATCACCGACTGTTCAGCGCGAGATTTCTCGCACACACAATTCGGGAAGATGAGACTAATTTGCAAGTGAGCGCCATATATTACAATGATGATTTATCTCCATGGTCTTTTTTAAATACCAGTTAAGTTGTAAGTGCGTTGTGTAACACTTTCAATTAGATTTTTTGACTCGGGGAACTCACAGACGTGACACGTACACGCGATCACAACAGCATACACGGAGAATAGATCATTCACATATCATACAAATTAACTATGCTATAACAACAGCATCATACAAATAAGCATGCATGCTACAGCACCAAAAGCGTGCACACATGAAGTACGTCGTCAACTAATTACAGGGGTAGAAATTAACTTTTGAATAAAGGAGTCCAACGGACTAGCTCCCTGCCATCAAAAAAAGGGAGTCCGCAGCAAAATGAGGGAGTCCGCAGTTTGAATGTCAAAACTAAAGATATTAACAATAACGCATATGTGCTTATTTTGAAGATTCATGCAGTTGCACGTCTGCCAACTTTTCTTTAGACATTTGCTGAAAAAATATGCTAATTCCGCGAGGCCGTGCTCTGGAACAAACTATAGTTACTATAGCAGAATTTTCAGGGAGTCACACGGACTCCTGTATATGTCAAATCAGGGAGTCCCACAATAAATCAGAGAGTATTTGACTCCGGACTCCCGTTAATTTTGCACCCTGTAATCAACATACAGCTGTGGAATTCTTTGCGAAAAAAATATGAGCCGAAATCAACAGCTCTGACCCACTCCTAGCCTTAGTGAGACAAAAAAGGGAAAAATAACCAAGGATCATAAGTACACGAGTGCTCTTTTATAGCATTCAACTATAGTCAATTTATTTGTGAGCTAGAGCAAAGAACCTCAACATTCTAACCACTCAAAATAGCCTTATGCCGCTGGAAGCATACATCTAATAACGCGCAACGTTCGTTATTATATATATATATATATATATATATATAATTATATAGATATATCTATATCTATATTATACACTCCTGATTATATTATATCCGTAGGTTTCGCTCACGTATTATCCCTGTCGTATGAGTAGGGTATATATATACACAATGAGTAGAAGTCAGCGCGTGTTAAATTACCTTCACCATTAAAAGCAGCGATCTTCGAAGCTTAATTTCAGGTCACATTATTAGTCATAACCTTTTATCGTAGAGATTGTCAGGAAAAATCGCAACTTTATACGACAATGATGACTCATAGCAAATTTGCAATCCTTCCAGTCTATATTACGTTCCAGTCTGGCCTGATAATTATTACAACGAATCGAACAACAACAAAATTATTCCACAAAATCAAAATACATTATCCTGATAACGTTTATTGACACCTATTAGTAAAATACATGTTTTTCCTGAAAAGCTTATGGTATGTTGAATACCATTACAAATAATTCGTTAATAGCATCTAGCATTTCACATTATACGCTATACCCATGAAGGCACTATCGTCTCTCATCCAATAAGCGACTAGTATAGATATGATATCAATTAACTCAATTTAATTTCAAATCAAATTAATTAAATCAAAAGTTCTGCTTTTCCTATATGTACAAATTAGGTGCAATGCTACCTCGACATGATACTGATAACACTAGTCTATTACTAGTTGTAGGTTTTGAAATACAGTATAAATAGCAGTCATAGCGCTATGGTAGCTTAAGCGTACTAACAACGGTTTCTCTTATTCGTTTGTATATATGCATGCGTGCGTGCGTGCGTGCGTGCGAGTGTGTGTAACCGTGTGTGCGTGTGAATGAATATTAGATGCATATGAATATATATAGTAGTTATACTATATTAGTACTTATATAATACCTATATAGTACTTATGCTAGTTTTAGTATATTTCTAGAGCAGCGGTTCGCAACAAAAGCTCCAGAGCTCTCGCAATTTTGTCGCAGCGATATTTTCCAATAATAATAGGGTTTTGACGGATTTTGACGGACGCCTTGACGCGCGAAAGCGGCAACCCGATCCACATGCACTACAACCCATACATACACAATACAACGCGATCCACACTACAACCCATAGCCACATCGTATGAGAAGGAGGGTCTCATTATCTCATATAAACTAAATTTATTATAACTATACGTATTTTCCTCGCACTTTTTTACATCGTATATCTACACATAACGCGTGTTATTTCTCCCTCGCGCGTAGATTCGATTCGCTGCAGATGTTCGCAACACCTCGTGCATAATTAACAACGTAAAGCAGCTCGCAGCATCTTGGTGTGGGCGCGACGTCCACGGCACGGCAGTCTGATGTTCTACTCTCATCCGGTCACCTAATTACTGATGTTTGCCAGCTGCCGGTCAGTACATGGCTTCGGGTATGCGTTACCATCGGCAGCGCACATACGCGCAAGTAACTGCATGCGCCTGCACGTTTGATTGCATTCTTTTCGAACTCATAGGCAAACACAGGGGCATGCAGTATTTAATACTATTTATGATGCATCTATGCGTCATTACACCGTTATGTTATTGCACTAGCGTGCACTGACTGCCATTTCTGCAGTTATAAATCGCACTACGGTGACATGCAATTTTATTCAACTATTGGGCAGCACCGTGACATGCGGTGCTTATACGCAAATACGGAATATTTCGAGAGTGAGACTTTCTATCATAGTTATTAAGTAAAAATAGCAGCTATGGGGTCCAATTTCACACCCAAATTCACACAGGCACAGACAGGTGAGCACAAAGTTGATTTCTTTTACCAAAGCACGAACACGTTTCCTCATTCACGAAATGTTTCAGAATAAAACACACATAACATCCAATTTATTAAACGAAAAGATACATAAATAGTTATCTATTGTATGTTTAAATAATTTTCCATGAATTAATAGTTTCATTTATTATTATTAATTAATTTATTATTTTTCTAGGTCTACGTCACGTGTAGGTCTAGGTCTAGGTCTAGGTGTAAGTGTCTACGTCACGAATCTCCAAAAATTATTTAAAAAAATATAGTTGAAACCTTATTTTTGTAATTTTTTTGCATCAAAAGTTAGTACTAACGTTACTAAATATATCCTCAAACTCTCACCTGATAAAAATGTTTTTACGTTGGTTAAATTTGCAAAAATCTTGACGATTTGAATTAGTGTTGTCTAACACTATTTACATATTACTGGCGTCTCTCTGTTGCTGTACTGGTTGCTGCGGTTGATGTCATCGTGATTTGTGTATGGTGCACAAAGTGGTGCCCAAACAGTTTCTGTTTTGATTTGTGTTGGCTTAACTTGGCTATATAGAATATACAATATAGGAAAAATAAATAATATATGTTCATGTGTATTATGTTTGAAAAATTATTATTAAAACTGCGAAATGTTATTTGTGTTTTTTTAAATTTCTGCCAACAAAAATGTTTGTGACATCCCCTTCAGGATAGATCAGAGGTTAGATCAACTAAACGATAAACAATGGTGGGCAGACCAGTGCATCGGAAAGAAAACGAAAGAGAAAAAAGCAGAAAGAAGATTATATGAGAAATTCCCGCTTAAGTTTACAAGGAATTTCCATGGCTGCCACAATAATTTTGCCAATGCCTCGTTTACCGCAAATGTTCGCTATATCGGCTAGCTGCGTCTGGGCGCCACGCAAGAATTTTCGAATTCATGGCGGTTGTTGTTGTATCGAGCGTTTGGTTACATCGAATGCACCGGCAAATTATGGAGTATAAAGAAGGTATATAAGCATGAAAAGTAAACAGAACCGCTAATTGTATTTTCATACATTTTATTTTGTACAAATAACACACAAATATACTACTTGCTGGTGCTCGAAATTCGTGACGTAGACAGCTTAACTTATTAGTAAATAATCATTTTAGTGAAGTTGCGATTGCGATGCCACCGTTATACAGAACTAACGGAGGAGATTGTGTTGGAGTGATATAATCACCCCCCCCCCCGTCCCGTGCGTGCTGTCAGCTGTCTGTGACAGGGACATATATTTATCTCGCATAGTTTCAACAACGGCACCCTCTCGGCTCGGGGATCACTGCGAACCGTTAAACCTGCACGGTTACATAAATTGCGTTCACACGACAGACAAAACGCTGCCAGCGTGGTGCCGAATATACGCGGCTTACTCGCCGAGTGGGCCGCGTATTTCAGTACGGTACTGAATAAGCCGCGTATATTTTTAGCGTGTGAACGGTACTGTACGGTACTGAAATCCTCGTGTGAACGCAGTTACCGTGTACTACGCTACTAAGTAATGCACAATGTGACATGCAGCTATTGACTAACGTAGTGACACGCATTTGCCTACGCAATTATGCGACAATATACGCACAGTCTATGAAGCTGTGCATTAGTACGGCGACAGGCACTGCCTATATATGACCACGAACTCTATATACCCTTGTTCCCTCACTCAAATCGGGTCTTTGACACGAGAACCAGGAATTATGACAGTCCTCGCTCCGCGCGATGGCCCACTATCTTTGTCCCTCCCATTCTCCTGCTTCCCCCGTTCACGATTACACGTCATTTGTCGGCGACACTTAATTGGCTTTTAACGAAGCTACAGGGTCGCAGCAAGCGGCGCATTACCCCCGCATCACTTGCCCCGCATGCAATCCCCCCGACCCGAGAGAGGGTGAATTACTGAGCGGGAGAAATATTACGTTAACTAATTGCTCAGCATACACTTTAAGTAAATTGATACATCATTACGTTGCTATATATATATAAATGTATTATATAGAGAGAAATGCTAGGCATGCGGATCACACCCGCCTACGATGACTGCGAGCATGGATAGCTTGATCGCTGCGTTTAACTGTGCACGAGGCAGATGACCGCTCACAGTGTAACAGGAGGGAGAGAGACAGATGGAAATGACAGCCAGAGCGAGCGAGAAAGATAAATGGAGGGAAGAGATAGAGCTAGAAGTGCGAACGACGGGCACAGACACACGCGCACACGCACGCACGCACGCACGTCACACACACACGCACGCACGCACGCACGCACACACACACACACACACACGTACATACACATGCACGCACTCACCCACGTACACACACGCACACACACTTTCTCTCTCTCGCTCTCTTTCTCTCTCGCACATACGTACACATATACACCCACAAGCACGCACTCCCGCTCGTACTCACGCACGCACGCACGAAGCGTTACCGCGTAGTTACCGAAGCAAACAGACGCACGCACGCACGCACGCACTCGCGCACGCACGCATGAACGCACACAGGGAGGCTTACCGCGTAGTTACCGCAGCAAACAGACGCACGCACGCACGCACGCACGCATGAACGCACACAGGGAGGCTTACCGCGTAGTTACCGCAGAAGCGCGCGGCGATGATGTATGGCTTGAAGTTGACGCGGTGCTGGTGCGTCGCCGACGATGACGACGCCGTGCCGTCGTCCCCCAGCGTCGCGTCGGAATAGTGGCCGCCGAGCAGACGACCGACGACGGAGCGCAGCAGCGGCAGCGACCGGATACGCACGCCGCTCGCCGGCTCCGCTTCTTCCGGTATAGAGGTCATGGTCGCGTCGTTCGCCATTACACAGCAGCAGACGCGCGTGCGGTGGCGCGGGATGAGTTAGTCGGCACGCACGGCCGGTGACTGCCGCCTAGCAGAGCGACGATGACGACGACGACGATGACGATGAGGCGAGCGCTCTGGATGCATTCAGGGATGATGCCAGGATCGTGGCATGCGCGTGTGTGCGAAGTCAATTTCGCCACAGTTGCTGTTTCTGCTACTGTTGCTACTGTTGCTGTTTCTGCTACCGTTGCTGCTCCTGCTACTGTTGCTGCTGTCGCTGTTTCCGCTGCTGCTGCTGGTGCTTCTGCGGCTGCTATCTCTGCTACTGCTGCTGCTGTTGCTGTTTCTCCTACTGCTTCTACTGCTGATGTTTCCGCTGCTGCTACTGTTATTGCTTCCGTTGCTGTTTGATGTTTCTGCTACTGCTGCTGCTGCTGATACAGCTATTACCCGCCTTCGCTGCGTCTATAACACCGCACCTACGATTAGCGACAAATAGGTACTGTGGCGCGCCCTCCAGGGGCCGGCAACTATTAAGCCTGAAGTCAGCCAGCCACCGCAGGCACTCGTTACCGTCGCTTGACGACGTGCAATCTCGACTTCACCGCATCCCTCAGCCTCCCGTCAGGGCTTTGCTCCATGCTGCAGCGTCCCGCCAGGGCGTCAACGCGATCAACGAGCACGACGACGTTGACAGCGAGTATCGATTCGCCGACTGGCGCCGCAGACGCGTCTAGAGCAGCGACGGATACAGGTCCTCGCGTTCTATTTAACTGTCATAAGTTCTCATAAATGAAGACACCATTAAAGCGCACAATTAACGCCTTAGTTAATATGCATTGATCGCGCGCAAGGTTCCAGTTCGGGTAATGGACTTACAGCCGCCGGCCAGGCGTTTTCAGACAGCGACGGGATTGTACGGCATGAGACGGCGGAGAACATGTCATCTCTCATATAGCATTATATATCTAAAGCATCACACCACAATACGTACGGCAAAAAAATCACATAACTGACACTCGTCTGCGGCGCACTTATATCTGAAAAACAGGCGACTGCGAAAAAGCGAATTCCGCAACAAGTGCGACAAATCGCAGTCATTGCAGTTCCATAAATCCTATCGCGAAACGCTTGCGGGGCGGGCAGCTGTAATTACGTGCGTGTGTAAACTATCCGGATGCACACACCACGGCCCGGCTTATTGCGTCGCCACCTGCGGCGCTATGCACGTCTACGTGCGAGCACGACACCGCTCAAATACAAGCGCACATTCACAATCGCTGCTGCTAGCACTCGACGCCAGGTAAACGGCTGATCACCACGCACATGCACACAGATCGCGCGTCTAATTACGACGCCGGTGCTTCTATTGAAACTGCTCTGCGACCACCATCAATCACTCGCACTGATCACATATCTCTGAGCAGCTTCGCAAGTGCTTCGCTGACCATCATCAGAAACGGAAAAAATATTCGGACGCCGAAGCGTCGAGACTATGTCAAACACATCGGCCACAACATCACGCAAGCAAACCTAGCAGACTCCTCGAAAACTCCGCCGACTACGAGCCAGCCAGCGACGTGTCGGTCTCGCCTACACGCAGCGCGAAACGACGAGACGCCGACTCTGTTAGATAGCAGTCACACCGAGCACTGCGAGCACTGCGAGCACTGCAGAACTGCAGGACTGCGAGAAAATATTTCATGCGCGACGCGAGAGCAGCGCGTCGAGACAGTGACGTGACAGCATGACGCTGAAGCCGTGCAGGCACGCTGTCACAGAGACTCGCGCTACAGAGACAGGCTAGGCGCGCTCACACCGTGCGACGCAGCAGCGGCAATCACGCACTGAAGCTACTAGCGTTGTCGCGCTCTCACATGCAGAGACTCGCGCTACAGAGACAAGCTAGGAACGCCGTCACCGTGTGATGCAGCAGCAGCGTCAATCACGCACTGAAGCTACTAGCGTTGTCCGCGCTCTTCAACAGAGACTCGCGCTACAGAGACAAGCTAGGAACACCGTCACCGTGTGATGCAGCAGCGGCCGTCATCACGCACTGAAGCTACTAGCGTGTCGCGCTCTCACAGAGGCTCGCGCCTACAGACAGGCTAGGCGCGCTCACACCCTGCAATGCAGCAGCAGCGGCAATCACGCACTGAAGCTACTAGCGCTGTCGCGCTCCACAGAGACTCGCGCTACAGAGACAAGCTAGGCGCGCTCACACTGGTGTGATGCAGCAGCTGCGGCAATCACGCACTGAAGCTACTAGCGCTGTCGCGCTCTCACAGAGACTCGCGCTACAGAGACAAGCTAGGCGCGCTCACACTGTGTGATGCAGCAGCTGCGGCAATCACGCACTGAAGCTACTAGCGTTGTCGCGCTCTCACAGAGACTCGCGCTACAGAGACAGGCTAGGAACACCGTCACCGTGTGATGCAGCAGCAGCGTCAATCACGCACTGAAGCTACTAGCGTTGTCGCGCTCTCACAGAGACTCGCGCTACAGAGACAAGCTAGGCGCGCTCACACTGTGTGATGCAGCAGCAGCGTCAATCACGCACTGAAGCTACTAGCGTTGTCGCGCTCTCACAGAGACTCGCGCTATAGACAGGCTATAGGAACGCCGTCACCGTGTGATGCAGCAGCGGCGTCAATCACGCACTGAAGCTACTAGCGCTGTCGCGCTCTCACAGAGACTCGCGCTACAGACAGGCTAGGCGCGCTCACACCCTGCAATGCAGCAGCAGCGGCAATCACGCACTGAAGCTAGCGTTGTCGCGCCTTCACATGCAGAGACTCGCGCTACAGAGACAGGCTAGGAACACCGTCACCGTGTGATGCAGCAGCAGCGTCAATCACGCACTGAAGCTACTAGCGTTGTCGCGCTCTCCCAGAGATGCTATCAAGAAAAGAAGCAGCAGCAGCAGCGGCGGGCAGCTGCTCACCGTTTGCTCACCTCCACCGCACGCACGCAGCTCTCTGTCATCCAAGCTCGGCGTGGGCTGGCTCTAGCTCTAATCAATCGCGGCTACTGCGCAACCCCCCCATTACACTCGGGGTGCGCCTGTTGCTGCAGCTCAAACCTACGGTTTCCGTTGAAGCTTGTTCTGTTGAACATGTTATCAAGAGCTAAAAAAAGGTATTATTAGCTCTTGATGTTATGAGGGGTGCGAAAGAGATGGTCGCTCAAAGGCTTAGATGCCCTACTATATATTATCTACGTATTAGTATTGCTGCTTACGCCCCACCAGCTTAACTTCACAAGGATTCAACGAAATTAATTTGTTTACTCGGCACTCTATATTCCCTTATTTCTGACATGTAAAACAAACCTAGGATCATTACTCTCTTCCACTTTACTCTACCCGTATCCTTATCATAATCTTACACATAGCTAGATTATTCGCAGAAGATTGCGAGTTATTAATTCTGATCATATAAAAAATCTCCAAAGTTCATCTAGTACTGTTTTGTTCTACTAGTAGACTACAGAGCTGCATGGTATCAGGAGTAAATAATCACAATTTGAGATTATTTCCTCCTGGTGATATGTGTGTGTGTGTGTGGGAGGTGCGTGTGCGTGCGTGCATGCGTACGTGCTTATATCTATATTTATATATATTTTTAATATTATTATTAATATAGGTATTATTAGCTCTTGATATATATATAGACACACTCAAACCTGCTTACCACTCAACAGAAATGCCTGAATTGGCCATGTTTTTCCAGGTAGCCGTTCACAGGTAGGTGGATTCATTGTAAAACTGCCAATCAAGGGAAATGCCAAGCGTGGCCTTTATTGACTGGTGGCCAGTAACGCAGATTTGACTTTGTGTGTGAGTGCGTCCGTGCGCGTGTACGTGCGTGCGTGTGTATGTGTGCGTGAGTGCGTGTGTGTGACATATGATGTAACGCCTGTGAAACGACAAATAAGCAGACCTTTATCTCAGATAACCCCCTCAAAAAGATTGGTCTGACAGACAAGCAATTGGCGTGCCCACTCTCAAATGCATTAACGCACAAACGCCTACGTACAAACATCTCAGCAACAGTATAAGCAGAACGCTCAGCAAGACGAGCCTGTAAATAGTAGAGATTTGGCGACAAGCTACGCAACGCCTACACAGTCGCAGTCTTGGCACGTCGCCTACCCCTTGCGCATGCAATGTTATACTGCAGCATCCAGCTTCGCACATCCTTCAAGTTGCTCATTTAGCTTGACAATAAGCCGGACGGAATTCATAGTTTTTTTGTAATTACACACATAAAGCGGCAAGTGGCGATCATTCGTATTCCACATGCGCGGGTCAACACGGAAAACTAATTGCTAAACGCTGCATGAATCTCACTCATCGTTACAGCGAAAAAAGACTAGTGCTTCGGGTAGATAAAACTTCTAGTAGAAGGTACGACTGCGCAGCGGACAGGCGCATAGTAATAAAAAATGGCGTTACACTCGGGTTTCATAAAAAAGCCGCGCAGTTAGGCGTGGTTGAATTAAAACATTTGACAATTTTCGTTCGTCGTGTACCATCGACGGTTGACATTTTAACGGATCCTCTTCCCTTTCAACGGTTATGTATAGATACTGTGAACGAACAATCATTCACCGCCCGAAGAAACGGCAGGTTTCGCTACTTCTCAATTAAATTACCAGCGGTTTGCAATCTAGTAGAGATAAAAAATATCTAATTTAAAAGTCAAGGATCGCCCAACTAAAGCGAGGATGACGCATGCGTACGTAGTCACTAGTGGGTTTATGTAAGCGCTATTTCTGCACGCACGGTTACACATAATCGTTATATATATTTCAAATTAATATTTAACTACAAATATTAGCAAGCATTATAAATAATACATTTCTTTTTTTATATCAAAATAATAATAAAATCCAAAATATTGTACTCATACAGTACAATCACATTACAAAGAAACTACAGTCTCCTTGAAATGTGTGTGTCATGCGCAAACGAGCCTAGATAGTGAACGTGAAGTGCGTCATGATTAACCTAA